CCTCAAGGATTTAAGAACTCACCTACAATCTTCAACGAGGTGCTATATGAGGATCTGAGTGAGTACCAGTCTGAAAATCCTGAAATAAGTTTATTGTAATATGTGGATGACTTGTTGATAGCCACTCCAGACCAAATAGCTGCTTAAAGGGAACGGTTAGGCTCTTAAAGACTCTTGGCAACGTGGGCTATAGAGCCTCCGCTAAAAAGGCACACATCTGTTAGCCAGAGGTCATCTATCTGGGCTTCATACTAAAGGAGGGCAAGCACTGTCTGTCAGATGCATGCAAAGAAACTGTGCTAAAAATTCCTGTGCCTAAGTCAGCTAGACAAGTCAGAGAGTTCCTGGGAACAGCAGGCTTTTGCCGGCTGTGGATACCTTGGTTTGCTGAGATGGCTAAGCCCCTATATGAAGCCACCAAAAATCTCCCAGAATTTCATTGAACTGAGCAGATGCAAAAAGCCTTTGAGGCAATTAAGAGAAGCCTTTTGGAAGCCCCTGCCTTGGGCTTACCTGATGTGAACCAGCCATTCACATTATTCGTGGCTGAACGTAAAGGAATGGCAAAGGGAGTGCTCACCCAGCCAATTGGACCTTGGAAGCGGCTAGTTGCTTATTTGTCAAAGAAATTAGACCCCGTTGCTGCTAGGTGGCCTCCGTGCCTAAGAATAATAGCCTCAGCAGCTCTCTTAGTAAAAGATGCTGATAAATTGACTCGCCTATATAAATCAAGCTGTACCAGACATAAAGTGAAAGTTGCAGGCTCTAGACAGACTTGGTGAAAAAGTAGCCGTGGCAGAAAAGGTTTAAAGGAAGGACAGAGAATGTGAAATTGAGCTTGAAAAGAGAGACCGGGCCAAGGAAAAGAGTTTGATATAAGAAGGACCTCAGGGGAATCTTGACTTTCATGCAATCCAGAAAGTTTACTCAGTCCTATACCACTCCACATGCTCTAGAGGGGTGCTAAGACACCCGCCCAACCGGTGGATGAGCAATGCCCGCATGGTCCATTACCAGACCTTGTTACTTAACCCCACATGGATCAGCTTTTGCGTACCCATAGCATTAAACCCAGCTACTCTGCAGCCAGATCTGGGTCTGGAAGCGCCCCTACATGACTGTGAGCAGATCCTGGCCCAAGTATATAGTCTCAGGCCAGACTTGTTGGACTCATCACTATCACATGCCGAGCATACTTGGTTCACAGACAGCAGCAGTTTAATTTGAGATGGAAAAAGGTACACAGGCACAGCAGTCACCACAGACACTGAGATAGTGTGAGCAGAAGCACTCCTCCAGGGAACATCTGCACAAAGAGCAGAGCTAGTGGCACTAACAAAAGCCCTACAAATGGGAAAAGGGAAGAGACTAAACATTTACATGGACAGTCAGTATGCTTTTGCCACCATGCATGTCCATGGAGCCATTCACCAAGAGAGGGGGCTGCTGACAGCTGAGGGAAAGACTTAAAAAGAAACAAGAAGGGCTGGGAAGGTGGCTCAGTGGTAGAGCGCTTGCCTTGCATGCCTGAGGCCCTGGATTCAATTCCTCAGCACCACATAAGCAAAAAGAAAAAAGCCAGAAGTGGTGCTGTGGCTCAAGTGGTAGAGCACTAGCCTTGAGCTGAAGAGCTGAGGGACAGCACCAAGGCTCAGAGTTCAGGCCCCACGACCAGACCCAAAAACCACAACAACAACAAAAAAGCAACCAAGAAATTTTAAGGCTCATCCGGGGCATATGGGAACCAGCAAATATTGCCATTATGCACTGCCCTGGCCATCAAAAGGGAACTGATTCTATAACCAAAGGAAATAACTTGGCCGATCAGGCAGCTAAGGAGGCGGCCCTGCAGCTCAGAGCGGAGGTACTGACTCTAGTAGACCCAGGGCCATGAGCCTTGACTCCGGAGCCTCAGTACTCCCAAGAAGACTTGGATTGGATAAAGAAAATTCCCATGGCTTATAAACCCCCGGACAAAGAAGGAAACAAAGACTGATGGAAAACTGGTGAGGGGAAACTTATCTTGCCACAAAGGTTGGGCAAGGGGATTCTTAAGAGAATCCATCGGGTCTCTCATATGGGAACCCGAAGAATGCAGGACTTGCTCTGACACTCAGAAATAAAAAGTAGGCAAGGGCATCAACTCATTGAGGACATTGTTAAAAATTGTAAAGCCTGTCAGCTCACCAATGCCCCCAATCAACCTGTTACAAAAGGAACTAGCCTCTGTGGAGATAGGCCAGGTGTGTATTGGGAAGTAGACTTCACAGAAATTAAAACTGGAAAATTTGGATATAAATATTTGCTAGTTTTTGTAGAATGAATCAGACTCTAAAAGAGACCTTAACTATATTAGCTTTGGAGACTGGCACAGATTGGGTATCGCTCCTTCCTTTTGCCCTGTTTAGAGTAAGAAATTCACCCTATCAGCTTGGCTTTACTACTTTGGAAATAATGTATGGACACCCTCCACCCATTATCCCTAGCCTTCAGACTGAATTGCTTGCTGATTTGGATGATACTGAATTTCTGTATGAGCTTGACTATTTACAGCTGGTACATAAGAGTATGTGGCCCCAGCTTAGAGCATTATATGATTCTGCTTCTATTCCTTACCCCCATTTGTTTAAACCAGGGGACTGGGTGTTTATTCGAAGGCACAACTTGAGATCTCTGGAACCACGGTGGAAGGGAATTTACATGGTGCTACTGGCTACACCTACTGCCCTTAAGGTGGATGGCATTGCTGCTTGGATCCACTGCTCCCACGCCAGATCAGCTGACCCCTTTGCCCTGGATGACCATGGGGAAACATGGTAAGTCTCCAAACATCCTACCCAACCACTCCGCATAGGCCTCAAGAAAAGAAAAATGAACTAATTGTTATTGGTATTGTTGTTTAATAGTGTGGCTAAGGTCAGAGAGGGACTATACCCGTTCAAGATTGAAAGCTGCTGGAGTTTAGGTTTGGGCCGGAGCCACAAGATTCTGTCTCAGGACCATAAGTCAAGGGGGGTGGGAATGAAGGGTTAAAGTACTTGAGGCAGTGACCATTTGTTGCTTGTTTCAGAGCAGAGCAACACGTGGTGCTAAACCACCTGGTTGTGTGCCTTTATAAGACCTGAAATCCTTAGCTCAGGGCTCTCCTCCTGGCCTCCACTGTGTCAGAGTGTAGGACAAGGCCCGATCTGCAGCCCATTTAAATGAAACAGCTGTAGATTCTGACTCTCAATTGTCTTCTTGGTGGAGTCCTGCAACCTGGGTATACCAATAGTAGAGATGGGCTTTTCTGCTTGGCAGCCATGTAACCTAGGCCAGGATACCTTTATGAAGAATTTCATGTGCTTAAATTATGGTGCTGTGAATCAAATGAGACCCTTCAAATTTGTGCCATCCTGCTTTTATTGTTTATAGAACTCTCTGTGTATTTCCCCACATTCTTCTTTGCCTTGTACTTACTATTCAACATGGCTGCAGTGTTTTTCTGTAGAGCAGATGTCCCATTTCTCCCCCCTGTCCTGCCTTCTCTCTCATATCAGACTTTTGTTCCCTTGCTGAATACATACTTACTGAATCAGTCTCTACAAGCATCTCAGTGACAACCATCTCACCCAAAGTGGATGTTTAATACCTACTGCTTGAAGGAAGTTAAAAGAAAATGATCCAGAACCAAGGCTTTGGTGTCAGGAGTTTCCATTAGTAATTTAGAATTCATATATTTTGTTTTTATCTATGTTAAAACTCAAGGCATTTCCAATGTAACCTTCATTTGTTTGATTTTATTTTTGAGCAGTACTAGGGGTAGAATTCTGGGCCTCATGCTTGCTAGGCAGGGACTTGTCCATTTGAGTCAATCTATCAGTTTCTCTCTCTCCCTCCCTCCCTCGCTCCTTCCCTCCACCCTTTCTTTTCCTCTCTCTCTCCCTCCCTCTCTCACTCTCTTCCCCCACCTCTCTCTCTCTGTGCTGGAATTGGGGCTTGAACTCAGAGCCTTCTGCTCTCCCTTAGCTTTTTTGCTCAAGGCTGGCACTCTACTACTTAAGCATCACCTACAGTTGTGGCCCTTGGCTGGTTAATTGGAGTTTTTCTGGTTTATTAGGATTTTTTCTGCCTGTGTTGGCTTTGAATTGAGATCTTCAGATCTCAGAGTCCTGAGTAGCAATGATTATATGCATGAGCCACAGCTTCTGGCCTGTCAGTCTTATTTTTGTTGGTTATCTGTGAGAAAGTGTCTTGCTTTTTATCTTGGCCTGTCTAGACTGTTAACTTTGTACTTATGCTTCCTCCCATTGTTGGCATGACAGGTATATGTCTCAGCCTAGAACTTTTGTTTGCTCCATAGTTGGGGTACAAAAAGTGTACCCCACTGTGCACATGCACATCAGTTCAGAAAGGGTCTTCTGAACTCTTTTCAGCCTGTCTTCAGATTTCTGCCTCCTAGTAGCTAAGAAGACAGGTTTGAGCCCCATTTCCCAGCTAAACCCCTTTTTTCCCCCTTATTATTGAGATTTTCTTTGTTCATAATCTTATCTTAAGGTAACTTTGAGGAGTCATAAGAGCTGAGTTTCAACACTCTGGGTAGCTAATAACTAGCTTTCTGATTTAAAAAATACCTTTAGCTTAATCTTGTGGTTTATCAACCATGGAATGATTAATTAGAAAAATTTTAACAGATAATGTTAAAAATACCAAAGCTTTGGGCTGGGAATGTGGCTAAGTGGTAGAGTGCTTGCCTTGCATGCATGAGGCCCTAGGTTCAATTCCTCAGCACCACATAAGCAAAAAGAGAAAAGTCAGAAATGGAGCTGTGGCTCAAGTGGCAGAGGGTTAGCCTTGAGCTGAAGAGCTGAAGGACAGCGCCCAGGCCCAGAGTTCAGGACCCACAACTGGACACCCCTCCCCCCCCCAAAAATATACCAAAGCTTATGAATTGCTTTAATTAAAACAACAACCAGCTGAAACAGAAGCCAGAATTAAAACAGAAGTCACAATTGTGGCTCTAAAGCAAATTACGCTCTTTAATTCATGTGAGTTCCTTTCTGAAAGACTTTGCTTTCTGGAGGGATGTAAGGGCAACTTTTCAGAAGTAGCAGGGTCCCTGCATTCGTACACTATTGGCTCCATCTGCGAGGTCATTTCCTGCTGGAGATTTCAGAGTCTGGAAGTGCTTTATATGGAGATGCACATAGGTATTACTTCCTTTTCTTTATAGGATATGACCCTAGAACACAGACTTTAAATTTAATTATGTCTAAAAATGCAGATACACAAACCATCCAAAGCTAATTTCCTGTATTTGAGCCTCCAACTTTGCATTAAAAGAGCATGTGTGTAGGGATGGAGGTCTCAGAGCACATCAAGGCCATCCTCAAAGCACAGGAGATGGAGAACTCTGACCACAGCTGGCTCAACAGGGTGAGAGGGCTTCAAGTCCCCACAGTTTGGTCTTACTCCTCATCTGAGCCACTCAAAAGGGCGGTCTGGTCAGTGTAATCAGACTTTAGCTTCTGAATCCCAATGATCTCTCCATGCTCCTGTTTCTTTGACCTGGCCAGAAAGCTGTAATCAAGAAACCGCAAGAACCAATAGTTAGATGAACCGAAAAGATCCCTTTTCTTCTCACCAAAGATATGACACATTTACGTGTTCTTACACCCTTTTCTTCACATGTTTAGTAAATATGATTACATGTCGGAATGCCTGACTTCTCAGTATGTTCATCAATAGATAAATAGACTCACGGTGACTGAAGTGTCACAACTGAGACCACATTTCAGTCTTCTGCCATCCAGCTTGCTCTTTCACTGAGCAGGAAGTAGCAGTGAAAGAGCCCTTTCCTTCATTGGCCTGTGAGAGCTCTTTGTGGATGAAATCCATCACCTAGACTTGCAAGGGAGTGTGGGAAGAAGGTAGGGGCAGCTGTAACAGCAATAGAATGGTAATACAATGTACTAAAATTCACCCTCCTACTCAAATTGCAAATTGTGTGACTTTGGTGAAGTTATTGAAGCCTTCATTTCATTGTCTGTAAAAACTTCACAGTAGGGGCTGGGAAGGTGGCTCAGTGGTAGAGTGTTTGCCTTGCAAGCATGAGGCCCTGGGTTCGATTCCTCAGCACCACATAAGCAAAAAGAAAAAAGCCGGAAGTGGTGCTGTGGCTCAAGTGGTAGAGTGCTAGCCTTGAGCTGAAGAGCTGAGGGACAGCGCCCAGGCCCAGAGTTCAGGCCCCACAACCGGACCCAAAAAAAAACCAAAAAACAAAAAAAAAACTTCACAGTACCTCATAAAGCACTGAGAAATAAATGGGGCAGTATAGCATGAGTCTTTCTGTGGTGTCTGGCTGCAATCAGTTTGTAGGAGTTAACCGTTCTCAGTAGATTGCTTTGCAGAGAGGCCTTTCTGCTCTGGCACAGGTTTCCTTAGTTATGCCCTCTATGGGATGCAGGCAAAGAAAAGAGGAAAGAAATGGTAGATCTGGAATGGAGTGGTGCAAACAAGAGCAGGGACTACTGAATTCTCCTGATCCAGAACTGATTTCGACTTCAGGTTTCTCCCTCACACCATGGGCTTAACAACTGTGAGCACTTTATTGGGTTACCTTGACCCAGTCAAGTCTTTAACTTCTCAAAACTTCATCACCTGTGTTGCTCTGGCAGAGAAGATTGCCACACACAGCTTGATACAGAATTGTCACTCATGAGGTGGTAGAAATGAACCAGCAATGCTGAGGGGTTGGTGAGGAAGAAAAGGGTTGGCATAAGTTCCCTTCTCCCCGACATACCAGTAAACCAGCATGTAGTTGATGGCCACAATGAACAGGGCAGCAACACAGTGCCAGCTGAAGCACATGGTGATGAACATGATGTTGTGCTCATCTTTCTGGTCCCACTCCACGGTTCCAAAAGGTGGGAACAGCACAAACCCAATCTGATGGAATAGACAAGTTGGTCTTAGGGTTAGTTATCCTGAGAAGCAGTAGGTCCTGTGGTTACCAAGAGTAACTCATGCCACACCCTTCCTCAAGGTTCCTATATGTGCATTAGCACGGAAAGCCCTTTTCATACAGGAAGCATACTTAAGTTGAGCTTGGTTGGATAATAGGCTGATCTAAAGGCAGCAGAATGTTGGGGCATACATTTGGTGTGAGTAGATTGGCAGATGGGGCCAGTAAAAGGCACCATCAATATCCTGTTGCTCAATACCAACAAGTATTAATGGAGGTCACAGGGCAAGAAGTACACGAGAGAAAAGGGCCATGTAAACCTATCCCCAGCATATGCCAATGGCATTGTTATGCAACAAATTCCCTTCAGGACTTCTCTTGGGCAAGCACCAAGGGAAATCCCTAATCCAGGCCCTGTGCAGAGCATTTGCTGTGAACCATCACCTGCCAGAGCCAGGATCCCTGAAGAATAGCAAGACTGGTTCTTAAGAGTTCCAGCACAATATTGTCTCGATGAAGCACCTCAAGGAAGGTAGTGATACTGCCTCCAAATGCAATAAACACCAGGAGTGTGTGAATGTGCTGGTCCAGCGGGGGTCGATTGTGAACGTGGTAGTAGAAGAGAAAGCCTGCCACAAACCAAATGACAGCCATCAGACTTGCTTGTGTCTGCTTAAAAGGATTCACCCTGAGTTTTTTTCCCTCCTTTACCGGATTTCTTCCTTAACTGCCTCAAAGCTAGAGTTGCCAGTATTTAGGAAGTCAGTTATATAACATGATAGGGCAACTAAGCAGCAGAAATGGGGTTTTATTTATGGGTCTGGTATGAGTTTTAAAGGATGTAGCTTAACATCTCTACAAGCCCCACAAATGGTTGGATTCCATACAGGATCAGTAGGGCAGGTGGGTCATGGTGCTGATATCTACATATATGTTGCATGCATGTATGCTTGAAATTCAGTTTTGCCCTCATAACCTGTTCAGATTTTCCTGCTGAGGTTCAGAAGGGTGAGGTATTTGAATTACAACATTCTTTTTCAGGCACTAAGAGTGCAAAACATATTGGAATGACCTTCCAGAAGGAACTGTTTTTCTTTTTCTTTTCATTTTTTTTCTTTTAGGTGTGAGACTGAGACTCCAACTCAGTAACTGCTGCTTTTGCTCATTGGCTGGTAATTTAACAACTGAGCAATAGTTTCAACATCAGAAGGGGTTCTTCAAAAGGTATTTGGGGGCTGGGAAGGTGGCATAGGGGTAAAGTGCTTGCCTAGCATGCACAAAGCCCTGGGTTTGATGCCTCAGTACCACATAAGCAGGAAAAACTACAAGTGTTTGGTACTGGGAGGTGCTTAGGGCACTGGAGCATGTCCTCATAATCATGAGACCTGTTTCAATCTTTCCTTTTCTAGGTCAAATCATAACCATTTTGTTCCTACATAAGCTCCCATCCTGGTATGCTTTCTGCACCAGAGGGACAACCTACAGTGACCACCTGATGTTGGACTTGAATTTCCAAATAAACCTCCTCACGAACAGCTTGTCAGGAATTCCATTGAATGATGGAAAACTCGACTCATATAGTGGGTCTCCTGAGGTTTGCCATGGAGTGAAACATGACATCTCAGGGGGTAGGATAGGGTGCTCTTCCCAAAAGAGCTCATTCCCCTTCATGGAGGTATTCAGGCAGCTTTGGGCAGTCACTGTATGTTTGAGTGTGTGCACATGTGTGGGGCAGCAGGACTGTGGGGAAGGTTTGTGCAGCATTAGAGGCTTTGGGGATTACATACAAGCCTCACCACCATGGGTTCCTTTTCTTGTTCATTTTTTTTAAGTTCAACATGTCAGGTTATGAGTACAATGCATCTCGTTCAATATCACCTCATCTCTATCTCCCCCATCTCTCTCCATGAGCTCTCTTATTTTTTATGTCATCTGGACCAAAGTCCTGTTCAGGTTTTCAAAGTCCTAAGAGTTGGGTTTTTTCTGGAGGAGGTTCTTATATTTCTGATATCTTTTGTACTCTGTTCTCTAATAAATTCACCTTGTCTATCTGTCCTCCCTTATCTCCATCCACTGCATTCCATTACCTTCATTGAGTATTGACATACACATCACCAGTCTGTCCACCCCCAAGGGCACGATGTGGGTGAAAAGGTAGGTGAGCATGTCAATGATTCCTGAGATTCCGAAGAAGAGGTACATAGTGGAGTGCTGCCAATTCATCATCTTCACCCAGTGGTCATCTTGGTAGAGATGGAAGAAGGGCCCATCCCTAACAAGCTGCTCTGCCAGGAACCCTGCATGGAAGCAAAGGTCAAGAGTGAGGAGGAAGAGCTGCTCCCAGACCAACAGGAGACAGCACAAAATAGTCCAAAGGCACACACGAAGTCCAGATATGGGTGACTTGGCCTATGAGTCAGCATCTGCTTTGCTGCCTTGGGAGCTGCTCCTTAGTATCAAATGGGATATTTGCTGGGTAATCTGTATAATGGATGTTGTTGCCTTTTGTGGATTGGCAATAGAAAAGAAGAAACAAGAGACCTGTGTGCATGTGCGCACACACATACACACACACACATACACACATGCACACACGCACACCCCGAATATTTTTGAACAGCAGAGATGAAGCAGAGGTTGACCTCTTAGGTGATGGAGTGGCTGATGCTGGCAACTGAGCAAGTGAAGAGATCCCAGGAAGAATCAGAGGATAAATGAAGACTCCAGGCAGATGTGATATGGTGTAGATGGCTGTGCCTGTCTAGGGGCAAAGCAGCTCCCATATGTGTGTCCTAGGGTAGACTTCGAGTGAGTGAGGAAGTGAGTGAGTGACCTTCCTTAGCAGAGAGTTCTGAGCCCTACAGCTCCTCTGGCCCTCTGTTTTAAAATACTGGCTGAATAAAGCAAAGGTCTGCAGTGTGCTTGGCCACAAGTCTGATGAATCTATGCCTCAGGGTCACTCACAGTTTCATCCCTTCTACTTTTACACCTATTTCAGAAAGCAGATTTGTCTTTTTGCCCAGCACTCACAGTGTTTTAAGAGAAGCCCAGAAGCCCTCTATTATGCCCCTCTAGACCCCTCTAGACTCCTTCCCAAAACAAATGTGTTTTGTGGAGCAGCCCCTTTTCTGATTTCATATGGAAGTGTTCTGTAAGTTTGTGAAAATGTCCCAGAAAAAGTCTCAGTGATCCTCAAATGAAATCCCTGTGAAGTAGAGACCCTTTAGGGTGCCCATCACTTCCCTGGTTCTCAGAAGAGTGCAGCCTGCCATGTGGTTGAAGCGCAGGCTTGGAGCTATTGAATGTTTATCACTTCCCCCACTTGGCAGTCACACTGCCAAATACAGTTTTTTCTCACTTTGTTTAGGCAATGTTGATACTGTCCTTTACCATTTAGGACAAGTGATCCCAGTCTACTCAGAAAGAGATTTCTGAAGCCTGGTCTGGGTGGATGGGGGAAATACCTGCATTGAGGAAGGCTAAGCAAGCTTTGCTTCCTCCTAGTTACTTCACTGTTCAGTCCTTCCAGGAAAACTGTAGGCCAAGGATGGCTATAGCAGAAGGCAATCCACAATAAGATTCCCTGTTAGCCTACACTTCCATTCCATGAAGAAATAATTGTTACTCTCACCACTTCTGGCTCTTCCAGGCTACCAGTAGATAGAGAATATGACAAAAAAAAAAAAAAAACAAAACCAATGGAAGTTAGGAAAATGCAAAATATAGAGAATAGTTTTCCATCTCTTGCACTGCCCACCTCATTGGTCCCCCTGCATAAATGTACCCAGTGAAAGGTTGCTTGAGATAAGAGGATGGAGGATAGGCCAGTGCATTGGGTATCAAGGACCCTGAGATGCTAGGAGGAGAAACAATAAACAGCGCTCCAAGTGGCGAGTGGTTTTCCTTAAAATCAGTTTAGAGCTTTCTTAACTCATGTGTATGAGTCTATTCTCTCTTAGTTTTCTTTTCTATTTCTGTTTTATCTTTCTTATGCATTATGCACTTTGTTCCTATGTTTCTCTATATCTTTCTCCATCTTAGGTAAATGTCATAGTTTATCTGGTAGTTTTGCATAGCACATATTAACTCCTAACACAAAGCCCTCTATACAATAGAATGTTAGAATAAGCAGTGGCCTCCTGAAAATCCTTGTCCTCTTGTGTTTGCCAGTGAAACACCTGTTTCACAGTGTCTAGGAAGTGAACTAAAGGATCTGGATGTGATGGGGAAAGTCCCTGGACCAAATGAGTTCTGCTCTTACCAATGACACAACAGAAAATCCTGACTGCAGCTTCAATGATTTCAACCCGCTGCTGCTTCTGGCTCAGCCTGTTCTTCTTGCCCTTTTGGTGAAAGTGCTTTAGTGGGAACTTCACTGACCACCACATTCCAATGATCAAGAAGAAACTCCCGGGGAGAGCGTGGCCCTTGAAGTTTGCCATCAGTGTTCTAGGTCACCTAAACATCAGGAACAACTGTTAGGTGGCTGAATGAGGAAGACATATAAATGCATATAGTAGCATGAAGCAAACAGATGGTTGAGGATTTCAAATCATAAGTGGTATCAAGAAGGATCAATGTATTTATCAGAAAAGCCTTGATGCTAATATTTCAGTAATCTTGTCATCAGTTGAGTTATGGGGTAGAACTCTAAGGATCTTGAGGCTTTAAAAATGGGGATGAGGCAGTGGTGCTATGGCTCAAGTGTAGAATGCTATCCTTGAGGTGAAGAGCTGAGGGACGGAGGCCAGGCCCAGAGTTAGCCCCATGACCAATAAACAAACAATGGGGATGAGCCCAGATGCCTAGCAATAGATGAACAGATTAAACAAAATACAGTACCTATACATGGTGGAATTTTCCACAGACATTAGGTAGAATAATATTATGTCATGATCAGTGAGGTAAACTAAGCTCAGAGACGTAGCTCATGTTTTGTCTCATATGTGGAAGCTAGATCTAAAATTCAGTGGGACCTGATGACTTATACAAGACTCTAGGCATTCACAATAGTGAGACCACAGGAGGATATTTCTGGGAGAGGAACACAAAGGTGTAATGCAAATGTGCATCTGATTATATAAATAACTTTTATCTAAATGAACTCCATTTAATGGAAAGAAATTTTGTTGTTACTGTTTTTGTTGTTGTTGTTGTTTGCCTTTTTTCTTGTTTGTTCATTTATCTGTCTTTGGGAGCGGAAGGGTAGGGTGCTGAAATGGAGGAACAAAGAGTGAACAAATGCAGCAGTAGTATGCCCTAGACACTATGTTGAAAATGAATTATCCAATTTGTGGGTGTAGATGGGGATGGGAGGGATAAATAGAGAGAGCCAGGGATGTGTGACAATAACCAAAAAGAAATGTACTAATGATCCAAATTCTGTAACTGTAACCCCTGTGTACATCACCCCTACAATAACACAATTTTTTTTAATGTGGTAAATATTCATTGGCCTTGATGTAGAGGAACTTACTCTGAGAAATACTCAACTACATGAGCAATTTTGTTTTTAATATCAGAGAAGACACTAGGCCAAGAACAAATCAGAAAAGCTCTGTAGGAGTGATAAGACAAATGACTCAGACATCATAGAGCTTTTACAAATGAAACAGTAACACAAGCAAAAGACATGAATACATAATTTACAAAATAAAACAAACATGATAGATCTGTAATACTAGAGATATACACCTGCAAGTATAGTGCCATTTTTTCAACTTTGATTTGAAAATAATTAGAAGAGATTTTGGAATGGAAATCTACCACAGATGAACATGTTACATGCGGTTCAAACTTGGATAAATGCCAAAATCATTATATGAATCGCTTTATTAAACATATTATTTCTTGCTAAACACTGCTTGTAAGCATTATGCACACCTTTGATCCTCAGCTCCACCTAGACCTGAGCTCCTCCCAGCCCTGGAGTTCTAGTCAGACAGCTGGCCCCTCCCTCTCTCTGCCCAGACCTATCTGAGCTCCCAGGTACCTCACTTCCTGCTCCCATCATGTTTCCGCCACAGGGGCCCTTGGCCATGGTAGGCTATAATTTTTATTTTAGGTGTATATGTGTGTGTGCTTTAAAAAAAAAATCTCTTTTGACCTTTTGGTCCTTTTAAAAAATTCTTTTCTTTTTTTTCTCTCTTTCTTTTTTGCATGACTTAATTGCTGTTCTGCTCATCCCCAGATATATATCCATTATCGATTATTAGACTTTATCTCCCATTGTGTACACACTTAATCCAGAAATTTATTACTCAATTCACAACCTCTTAGGGTTAACTTCTTTAATAGCAGTATTATCCCTTTATAATTATATAATTTTGAAGTATTCCAATTTTAAGAATTTTTATTTTTATTTTTTCATGTTTCCTTTCTCTCCCTCCCCTACTTTCAGCCTATCATTTTCTTCTCTCAATATCATTTCTTTAAACATATAATTTTTGTGTTTCACTTTTTCAATTTAAATTTTGGTTTTTCAACTTTTCTTTCTTTCTTTTTTTAAATCTCTCTCCTATCATTCTCTCTAATCCATTTCCCTCTCTGAGATTAGGACTTGGTTAAATTCACTCCCCTTTTACCTCTCCACATCCCTTAATCCTATTTTTCCCCACATTTCTCCCTAAACCTAATAATTTCTGGTTGCCAAATCCTCCTTTGCTGTTCTTAGCCCTTTGATCTATAGTTGTTTGATGTTGAATAGATTGTCTCTATTGAACTAGATGGTATCTGCAGCCATTTTTGACTGTGCAACTACAAGATTCTGGTTGATGCTTGCCTTGAAATAGTGTTCTAGCTCAAAATTGGTGTTACTTTCATACCAAATGGGCAGAAGCCAGAGAAGCACAAGAAAAATGGCAAGTCTGGGTATCTCAACTCCCACTCATGATAATCAGGTCACAGAACAGTTAATGAATAATCTAGAGGAGAGTTCCCAAAAAGCTCTACAAACACTACTGGTAAACATGGTGAATGAAAAGATTGAAAACCTGCAAAGGACTCAGTGTGAGCATGATAGGGAGCAAGAGAAGTCAAACCAAAGATTAATACAGGAATCTCATGAGTGTGAGGACGCTACTCAGAGATTAATACAGGAATTGTGTGAGCAGGCTGAGAACAGCCAAAGAGTAATAAAGGAATTGCGTGAGCAGGCTGAGAACAGTCAAAGAGAAACACAGGAATTTCATGAGCGTGCAGAATGTAATCAAAGAGTAATACAAGAATTGTGAGAGTGGCATGAGCATAGACAAAGATCAATAGAAGCATTCATGGAATCCATAAACAGACAGCTGAAAGAATTCAGGGAGACCACAAAGGGAATGTCGAATGGAGCCCGACAGAAGGAATGGGAGTCCAAGGAAACCACAACCAATCAACTAAGTGATTTGAGATAAACACTGAACACCAAATTAAGGAAGTAAAGAAGTCCATACAAGATCTAAAACAAAGCTCCAACAAAGAATTTGAAGTCATCAAAGCCGACCAATTGGAAGGAAAGAAATAAAAAACAAAGTAGAAAGTCTTGACAATAGGTTAGACCATGCAGAAGAACGAATCTTGGGGATTGAAGACAGCCTAGATATTATAGAGAAAGAACATACAGCTAGCCAAGACAAATCCAAGAAATATGATAGATGTATTCAATATTTGGAAGACACCATCAGAAGGCCTAATCTGAGGATAATGGGTGTAGAGGAGCACCTAGAGACATGTTAATGGCCTAGGAAATTTATTTAACAGGATCCTAGCAGAGAACTTCCCAAACATGCAAAAAAAAAAATAGGCCTATTCATATACAAGAAGCTTTTAGAACCTCAAATAGACCAGACCAGAACAAGACATCCCACCATCACATTATAATCTGCACAGGATCAATTCAGACCAAGAAAAGGATCCTTAAAGCTGTCAAGGAGAAAAGATCAATCACCTTTAAAGGGAAACCAATTAGAATCAACTCAGATTTCTCAGCAGAGACAATTAAAGCAAGAAGAGCCTGGAATGATGTATGACATACCCTAAAGACAAACAACTATCAACCAAGAATACTGTACCCAGCTAAACTCTCCTTCATAACCAAAGGTCAAATAAAAACCTTCCATAGCAAAGAAAATCTGAAACAATATATCTCCACCAAAACAGCCCTACAAAAGATACTTAAAGATGTCCTACACATAGAAAACCAACAAGACCACAATAAAGGCCAAGAAACTGCACCCAAACTGAGAATCCAAGAACTATAGGAAGAACCCAGTTGTTGCAGCCCCTAAGAAGGTGGATAACATGGCAGGAACTACCAAACACCTCTCAGTCTTTAACTCTCAACATTAATGGACTTGGGGGCTGGGAAGGTGGCTCAGTGGTAGAGCGCTTGCCTTGCATGCTTGAGGCCCTGGGTTCGATTCCTCAGCAACACATAAGCAAAAAGAAAAAAGCCAGAAGTGGTGCTGTGGCTCAAGTGGTAGAGCGCTAGCCTTGAGCTGAAGAGAGGGACAGCGCCCAGACCCAGAGTTCAGGCCCCACGACCGGACCCCCCCAAAAAAACAAAAACAAAACATTAATGGACTTAACTCTCCAATTAAGTGACATAGACTGTCTAGTTGGCTTAAAAAGCAAGATCCTTCTATCTGCTACCTTCACACCTTGCCCATAAAAACAAACATATTTTGAAAGTGAAAGGCTGGAACAAAATATACCAGAAATGACCCCCATAAACAGGCGGGAGTTGCAATCCTAATATCAGATAAAATAGACTTCAAATTAAAATTCGCGAGAAGAGATAAAGAAGGTCGCTAATTAAGGGATCGCTCCTTCAGGAGAATATTACAATTCTAAATATCTATTCGCCAAACAACGGACCACCCAAATTTATCCAAGAAACACCAATTTCCCTCAAATCTCACATAGATCTAAAGACATTAATTGTTGGGGACTTTAACACACCACTCTCCCCACTAGATAGATCAACTCGGCAAAAACTCAACAGAGAAACCGCAGATCTAAACAACTGTATAGATCAACTAGATTTAACAGACATCTACTGAATATTTCACCCAGCAGCATCAGAATATACGTTTTTCTCAGCAGCACACAGAAAACTTTCCAAAATAGACCACATTTTAGGTCATAAAGCAAACTTGTCCACATTCAGAAACATTGAAGTTATACCTTGCATTCTCTCAGACCACAAGGGAATAAAATTATCACTCAACACCAAAAGCCACCAAAGAAAGTCCGGTATCACATGGAGGCTGAACAACACACTGTTGAATCACCAGTGGGTCATGGAAGAGATTAGAAAAGAAATTTAAATGTTCATGATATTCAACAAAAATGAACACACAAATTACCAGCTCCTCTGGGACACAGCAAAGGCAGTACTCAGAGGCAAGTTTATAGCTCTGAGTTCCTACATTAACAAATTGAAGAGGTCTGAAACTAACAATTTATTGAGACAT